TTAAATTCAGAGTCATTTCTTCCCTAATTTTTTCAATAACAATTCTTTTTTAAAAACGGCTCACCAGCCCAGAACTAATTATCTAAATTCTACTCTAAATGCCCTATGTAGGCCTATAGTCCATGAATCCTGACACTTATATGAAATGTTTAATTAGCCTTGCAAAAGTAAACTGCTAAAAATTTTTAAATGCATAATGCATTTCTAGCCAAATATAGATGATTATAAAATATTAATGTTACTGTAGAATAATGTATCACATTCATAACCTATAAATATTTAAGTAAGTTTATGTTTTAGATTTTTGAATTTTAATATAAGCCAAGCTCAAATTTAACCTATAAGTATAGCTATTACACAAAACTAACTATCAAAACAAACAAGTGAAGGGCCAATAAGCTGAGAGTTGAAAAGCACCTGGTCTTCCCTTTCCCCACGTATAAGTCTCATTTTAAAACATAAAAAGAGGCCGGGCGCGTGGCTCACGCCTGTAATCCTAGCTCTCTAGGAGGCCGAGGCGGGCGGATTGCTCAAGGTCAGGAGTTCAAAACCAGCCTGAGCAAGAGCGAGACCCCTCTCTACTATAAATAGAAAGAAATAATTGGCCAACTGATTTATATATAAAAAAATTAGCGGGCATGGTGGCATGCCTGTAGTCCCAGCTACTCGGGAGGCTGAGGCAGAAGGATCGCTCAAGCCCAGGAGTTTGAGGTTGCTGTGAGCTAGGCTGATGCCACGGCACTCACTCTAGCCTGGGCAACAAAGCGAGACTCTGTCTCAGAGCAATCCGCCCGCCTCGGCCTCCCAGAGAGCTAGGATTACAGGCGTGAGCCACTGCGCCCGGCTTCATAAATTTTCTTAAAGAATAAAAATATTAAAAGAAACTTTTGAATTAAAAAATTGACATACTTAAATGTTGTAGCAATAGAAAATGAAAAACCCAACTCAAACTGGCTTAAACAAAGAAGATTAATTGCCTCATGTTACTGGGGTAAGCTTGGCTTTAAGTATGGCTGGATACACGGTTTAGAAGAATATTATAGGCATTTAAAAAAAATTTTTTTTTAACCAGACACTGAATGAGGGAATTTTATTTTTATCTCTTGGTTTTGCTTTAAGTTCCTTTGACACTCTATCGATATAGAGCAGCACCTGGCAAAATAAGTGAGCCTCTTTCCCCAGAGTTGTGAGGAACTAAAGGGAAGGCAGGGTTATCCCATGTAATTAACAAGCAGTGGTTCTACTAAGATAGGCTGGAACACCAAGAACATAAGTCCGCCCCTGTGTATGTATTTATAAGCATATGATCAGGTATCTACTTATATATATACCTACTTATTAATCTGTAATAAACTTATCCAGACTTACCTACTTCCTTTTCTTTTTTTGCTTTTGTATAAAATTTGAAACATACAGAAGTAGACAGAATCATGTAAATGAACTCTCATGCATGATCAGCTTTGTTTAACAGTTGTCAACACATAGCTAATCTTATTTTATTTATAATACCTGCACCTCCACTGGATTTATTTGATCTGTAATTAAATAAATTTAATCTGTCATTACTTAAGCATGTATCTCTAAAAAGTAAGGACTTTTTAAAAAAAAACCAGAACCACAAATCATTATCATGCTTTGAAAATTAGTAATAATTCCTTATATCATTTAAACTTTCCTGTTGTCTCATAAATATTTTAAAAAGCGGTAATTTGAATTAAGCTCCAAACAAGGACCATATATTAAATTGGTTCATATATCTCTTAAGTATATTTCAATCTATAGATTCTCCCTACTTCCCCTTTTCTTTCTTGAAAAATTTTCTAGAAGGACTCTGGTTCATTTGTCTATGTTTGAAATTTGTAAAATTTATCTCATTTTGGATTTGATTATTTCCCTGCTGTGTCTTTTAACATATTTCTCTATTCTATTTCCTATAAATTGCTACTTAGTTCTAGAGCCTTGATCAGATTCAGGTTTAATGTTTTTGGCAAGAATATTTGATATAAGATAGTGTGTACTTTCAGCTATATCACATTCAGGAGGTACTTGATGTTGACTCTTTGTGATGTTAAAATTGGTCATTAGGGTTAGGTCTTGTGACCCTTATAAAGTGATCCTATCAGCTTTTCATCCAAAGATTTTGGCAGCAATTGATGATCATTGCTTAGATCATTATTTTTGTTTCCTAGTAAAAAGACTACTCCTTTTCTACTTATTTCTTATTTGTACTGTTGTATTCTTTTTTTCTTACTTATTATTTAGATCTCAGATTAAACATGATCTCTTCTATAAAGCTCACCCTCCTTCCTAAGCAGAGTTATCTGTTTCTTCTGCTCTGTCTCAGGTCTTTGTATAAACCACACGACATATTTTATTATAACTTTTACCTAATGTCCAGATTTAACAAGAAGCCCAGAAATATATTTGGGAAAAACAACTGAAAGCCTGATATTCAACAGTCTCTGGCAGTTTAGCCCATCTTATCTCTCCAGCTTTTCACCTTCTACTACTCAGTAATACTGGAATATTACAGAACTTGACTGGTCTGTTGGACTCCCCTCCCCCCCAAAAAATTTAAATTCCCACTTTCAGATAATTTCATATCTTACAAGAATAAAATGCTCACTCTTTATTCTCTGCCAATCTAGTTCTTTTAATGCTTACCTTAAATCTCCCTGAGGTCTTCTAATTTCCCTAGCCAAAAACAATGTCTTTTGAACTCTCTTGGCATTTATTAAATTACTTTTTACCATGTTACTATTTAAGTGGCACAAATGGTATTAATTAGATATGCCTAGAATTGTAACTACTTGTGTTCAGGTATGAGGACCCTAGTTTAATGTAAGCTCCTTGAGATCTTACTGTCTTTCTGGTTTCTAACTTAGTGCCTTGAGAACTTGTTAGCATGTCTTTCCACAACTGGACTGTGAACTTGTTGAGGGCAGGGACCACAGTTCAGTGGCATTTGTGATGGCAGTGTCAAGCATCTAGTAGATACTCAGTAAATGTTTGTTGGATAAGCAAATTAATTTATATGAGAAAGCTTGATCATGGTAAGTGAAGGGTTATTTAACCACTTTTGTGAAGGGTTATTTTAACCACTGTAAAAAAATTTGACCCTGGATGTTTTATGTTTTCTAATTTATATAATCTGTACCCATTTTCATATCTTCTGCTAGATCCTTTCCCATTATATTAACAGTATTATATTAATTGTTTTTTTCTCTTAATCAATTTATCGATAAATGATTGCTTATTCCAGATAAGTGTCAGTTTTCTGCATTAGCTCAGTTGCCCAAGTCCTATGAAAAACACATAAAACAACAATTTAAAATATGTTGCTTTTTTCCTAGACTTACTGCTCTTTTTTATAGTTTTGGATACTGTTTTTTCTTTTTCTTTTAATGGTTATTTAGAAATTAAATTATACTGTGCTTTTACTTGTTTAAAAATAATTTGTGGATTACTGTGATAAATTTAGTATTTACTTTTTTTCAGCCTGCTTGAATTTCCTGAAGTTGTGCAAAATAAAATACTACAATTATTGCCTTATTCACAATGTACAGGTAAGTTGGTAGATGTTAGTCATGTCCTTTGTTATTGAAACCACCTAGCAAATTCTGCTAATTAACAAAGAATCCTGTATATTATAGAGGGATTTTATCATACAAACTGGTGATCCTACAGGGACTGGTCGTGGAGGAGAGTCTATTTTTGGGTAAGTTCTCTTATTCTTAAATGAGGAAAAATAGAATTGCTCTTATTTCAATCTGCATTTTAAAATATAGTTCAAATTTAGGATTTTTCTCCAAGTTCCCTAAATGTCTGTTACAAACAAGAAAAATATTTGGAATCATACGGGCATTTCTATAAAGAAATGGTTGGTAACCATATACATTACTAGTACTTTTTTTTTCATTTTTAGACTGTATATTTTATGACCTTATGATGTTTATTTTCAGTCAACTGTATGGTGATCAAGCAAGCTTTTTTGAGGCAGAAAAAGTACCGAGAATTAAGCACAAGAAGAAAGGCACTGTGTCCATGGTGAACAATGGCAGTGATCAGCATGGATCTCAGGTTAGGAAATGCGTGAGAAGATGAGCTTTGCTTAGAAATGAAGGACTAGAAGAAACTCATAAAATTCTCTTCTTTAACTGTCTAGTAAGAGAGTTTCAATCAAAGATATTTGTTAGAAGAAAAAAGTTGCCCTTTTTTATATTAAAACATTAGTTTGTCCTCTTAAATGTAAGGCATACCCATTGTGAGGAAATGAAAAAATATACAGATGTACAAACAGTAACATATTACCCACAATTCTACCACACATGATTATCACTGTTCACATTTATGGCCCATTTCCTTTCAGTATTTATTCTTTTTTAAAAACAGATTTTACTGAGTACCTTTCATTCGTTGTCTTGTTTAATCCTCACAACAACCCCATTGATATAAGTGCTTTTCTGCTGAATACACATGAAGAAATTGAGCCATGGTTTGTCCAAGTATTTTAAACAATTAAGGGAACATCTGTGTACATGTTAACATTTTATATACAGGCATACCTCAGAGATATCATGGGTTTGGTTCCAGACTACCATAATACAGTGAATATCACAATAAAGCAAGTCACATGAACTTTTTGGTTTCCCAGTGCATATAAAAGTTATATTTATGCTACACTGTAGTGTATTAAGTGTGCAATAGCATTATGTCTAAAAACACAATGTACATACCTTAATTTAAAAATATTGCTAAGTATCTCCAAATATGGTCATATATTGAGGTAAAAAAATAGAAGAAGAAAAAAATATATTGCTAAAAAATGCTACTAATCATCTGAGCCTTGAGCAGGTCATAATCTTTTTGTTGGTGGAGGATCGAGTCTTGCCTTAAATGTTTATGGCTGCTGACTAATAGAGTGGTGGTTGCTGGCGGATGGGGGCTGTGGCAAATTCTTAAATTAAGACAACAAATAAGTTTGCCACATAGATGGACTGATGAAAGATTTCTCTGTAGCATTTGATGCTGTTTGATAGCATTTTACCTGCAGTAGAACTTCTTTCAGAATTGGAATCAGTCCTCTGAAACCCTACCACTGCTGTATCAACCAAGTTGATGTAATATTCTAAATAATTGGCTGTCATTTCAACAGTGTTCATACTCCACCAGGAGTAGATTTCATCTCAAGAAACCACTGTCTTTGCTCATCCTTAAGAAGCAATTCCACATCCTTTCAAGTTTGATCATGAGATTACAGCAATTTAGTCACATCTTCTAGTTCTCTTGTTACTTCTCTTGTTACAGGTTAGTGAAGTCTTAAAACCCCTAAAAGTTATCCATGAAGGTTGGAATCAACTTCTTCTAAAGTCCTATTAATGTTGATATTTTGACCTCTTCCCATAAATCAAGTATGTTCTCAATGGCATCTAGAACAGTGAATCCTTTCCAGAAGGTTTTCAATGTACTTTGCCCAGATCCATCAGAACAGTACTGTCTAAGACATCTATAGCCTTACAAAATATATTTCTTTGTTTTTAGAGATATGGAGTGTTGCTAAATTGCTCAAGCTGGGTTCAAGCGATTCTCTCACCTTAGCCTCCTAAGTAGCTTGTCCTATATGTGCACACCACTGCACCTGGCTGTATTTCTTAAATAATAAAACTTAAAAGTCGAAAATACTCCTTGATTCATGGCCTGCACAATGGATTTTGTGTTAGCAGACATGAAAACAACATTAATCTCCTTGTTACATCTCCATCAGCTCCTGGGTGACCATGTTCATTATCAGTGAGCAGTAATCTTTTGAAAGGAATTATTTTTTCTGAGCAGCATGTCTAAACAGTGGAATTAAGATATTTAATAAACCACACTATAAACAGATGTGCTGTCATCCAGGCTTTGGTTTTGCATTTATGGAGCACAGAATTGATTTAGCGTAATTCTTAAGGGTCCTAGGATTTTCAGAATGGTCAACAGTCATTGGCTTCAGCTTTGTTACCAGCTGCATTAGCGCCTACCAAGAGAGTCAGCCTGTCCTTTGAAGCTAGGCATGACTTCTCTTTTCTAGCTATGAAAGTCTGAGGTGGCATTTTCCTCCAATATAAGGTTTTTTCTACATGGAAAATCTGTTATTTCATGTAGTCACCTTTATCAGTAATCTTAGCTAGATCTCTGGGTAACTTGCTGCAGCTTCTACTACATCAACTTGCACTTTTATGTTGTGGAGATGGCCTCTTTCCTTAAACCACATGAACCAACCTCTACTATCTTCAGACTTTTTTCCTGCAGCTTCCTTACCTCCTTCATCCTTAATAGAATTGAAGAAGGTTAGGGCCTTGCTCTGAAGTAAACTTTGGCTTAAGGGAGTGTTGTGGCCGGTTTGATCTTCTATCCAAATTACTACAATTTTCTCCATATCAGCAATAAGGCTCTTTTACTTTGTTATTCACTTATTCAGTGCAGTAACACTTCTAATTTTCTTTTTTTTTTTTTTTATTTTTTTTTATTTTTTTTTTTTTGAGACAGAGTCTCACTTTGTTGTCCAGGCTAGAGTGAGTGCCGTGGCGTCAGCCTAGCTCACAGCAACCTCAAACTCCTGGGCTTGAGTGATCCTTCTGCCTCAGCCTCCCGAGTAGCTGGGACTACAGACATGCGCCACTATGCCCGGCTAATTTTTTATATATATATATCAGTTGGCCAATTAATTTCTTTCTATTTATAGTAGAGACGGGGTCTCGCTCTTGCTCAGGCTGGTTTTGAACTCCTGACCTTGAGCAATCCGCCCGCCTCGGCCTCCCAAGAGCTAGGATTACAGGCGTGAGCCACAGCGCCCGGCCTAGAATGTTTTAATATTATGATGTTTGACAAGTAGTGGTATGCATAAGACTGGTATTCATAGGACTGGTTTCTGGATAATTTTAATTCCACAATGTGAATTAATATAAGACTATAAGAATCTTTATAATACAAAGGACCTTTTGTATTTTTACATTTGTAATAATTATTTATAATTGCTTATGTTGGGTGAAATAATTATTTTGAAATAATTTATTAATGTTTTAGTTTGGTGTTTTTTGTGGGTGGGGTATACACTACTTGAAGGGTTTTTATTTTTATTTTTATCTTTGAGACATGGTCTTGCTCTTTTGCCCAGGCTAGAGTGCATATAGCATGATCATAGCTCACTGTAACCTCAAACTTCTGGGCTCAGGGATCCTCTCCTCTCAGTCTCCCAATTGGCTAGGACTACAGGCACTTGCCAACATGCCCAGCTAATTTTAAATTTTTTTTGTAGAAACGGGGATCTTGTTATGTTTCGCAGGCTGGTGTTGAACTACTGGGCTCAAGCCATCCTCACCCTTCAGTCTCCCCAAGTGCTGAGATTACCACCCTGAGCCACAGAATGCCTGGCCTAATTTACTTTTTCTAAATGCAGATTTTGAGAAATAGGGCAAAAGTTCTAAGATTAAGACATTTATGTTCATTTACATCTTAAAGTAATGTAGAGTAGTAAATATGATATCAAACATTGAAAAACAGCACTCATTATGAAATATGTCTAGATTAGTAATATCTTCGTGAAGTTTTTTTTTTGGCATTAGAGATACTCAAATTATTTGTTAGAATCTATGAAAATAAAATATGGATTTTGAAATAACTTAAATGTAACATTTAATTTGTGTTTATTTTGTAAGGATAAATCATACAGTGATTTTAGATGATCCATTTGATGACCCTCCTGATTTATTAATTCCTGATCGATCACCAGAACCCACAAGGGAACAATTAGATGTAAGTACAGCCCTCTTGTGATTAAATGTACATGCATGTTAATGATTAGAATGGACTTAGCTTTTTCGTCTATTAGAGCTTATTTCTTCAGAATTATTATATTACCTTGCTGAATTACACTAGAACAAATTAGAGTTCTTTTTCTCTTCCACAGAGATAGTTATTTTTCTAGCTATCTATTTCTGATTTTTTTTTTTTTTTACGTTTCTGTTATACTGGAACAACCTTAACTCTGGAAGCTTATATGAACATCTTGGGGAAGTTTTTTTTTACCACCTAACTCTAGTTAGGAGTAGAGCTTCAAGGCCAAATTAAACCATCATCTTGTGAGGGAACTTTTCAACTAGAGATACCCTGGAGTCAGGCTAGAACCCAAAAATTTCTGCGGAATGGCGCAAACCTTTCTTCCATATGTTTTAATATGATACCTCAAAGCCATTTATCTTTATGGTTGGGATTGTTGCTTAATTCTAAGATCATTTATCGTCTTCATTCAGTAGTTAGTTGGATAACAGATAATGTCTATATAAATGTTTTGATTTTATGATCAGAAATGCAGTCTGGCTAATATTTTAAAATTAATTTAAATCAATTTTCAGAGTTTCAATAAATTTGTTTCAGTTTGTATTTTAGCACATTTGATGTAACTAAGAATAATGTCTTCCATGTTTCTTAGATTTTTTATTCTTTAAAAGTAAATTCTGCCTTACAGAGTGGTCGAATAGGAGCAGATGAAGAAATTGATGATTTCAAAGGAAGATCAGCTGAAGAAGTAGAAGAAATAAAGGCAGAAAAAGAAGCTAAAACTCAAGCTATTCTTTTAGAGATGGTAAGATAATAAACTTTGGTTCAAGTAGTTGTTCTGCAGTATATTTAATATGTACTCGTTGAAAGTTTATTTCTGGCCCTTTGATAAGTCTTAAAATATTAAAAATCTAGTTAAGAATTTTTTCTGGATTAAATTTGGTGTTATGTAATAATGCATAAGAAAATAAATAAATTTGGCTCCACTTTCAATATAGTGCCAAGTGTCTTTTTAAAAAGTGAGAAGTGGATATCTTATTAATTGAATTTCAGTTTTTTAATATTCATCTCATTTTTCTGTTTTTAAATAGTCTTGAGAAATTATTCATCCAATTTTTAAATAGTGTTTATTAGGCTGAATTTTATGTCTATTAAAGAATAATCCTTCACCACTCAAGTATTAAGATTAAATAGAATAGTAGTCAAAAGATAAAATAAACCTGGGTTGAAATTGAATGCTTTAAAATATATTCCTTCTCTGTATTACTAATAGCATGAAGTCCTTTGGGAAACAGTTATTCAGAAGATGATTAATTGACTCAACTAAGGCATTGTTTTCCATTTCTTATTTTTGTGGAATAGGTGTACTTACCACACAGTAGATGATCAATAAATATTTGATTGGATAATAAAGTTTTTATTGTTATTTTATGCAATAGAACTTTCAGATTTGTGGGTTTTTAAAAATAATATTGACATTACCAATCTGAATAAATATTAAAGGCTAATTTTTTTTACATATTTTTAGTTGGCCAATTAATTTCTTTTTATTTATAGTAGAGACGAGGTCTTGCTTTTGCTCAGGCTGGTTTCAAACTCCTGACCTTGAGCCATCCTCCCACTTCGGCGTCCCAGAGTGCTAGGATTACAAGCGTGAGCCACTGCGGCTGGCCAATAAGTTACTTATAAGGGAAAGAACAATAGATTATTATCAGACTTTTTAACAGCAACAGTTTAGGAAGTTTATGCCAGAAGAAAATGTATAGCCATTTTTTTTTTTTGAGACAAGATCTTGCCCTGTTGTCCGGACTAGACTGCACCATAGATCACTGTAACCTCAAGCTCCTGGGCTCAAGCCATCATCTTGTCTCAGCCTCCCAAGTAGCTGGGACTATTGGCATGTACCACCACATCCAGCAATTTTTTTTATTTTTTGTAGAGACAGGGTCTCACTATTGGCATATTTTACTATTTTACTAATTTTACTATTTACTATTTTACTAATTTGTTTTCTGCCTTCTGTGTTGTGATAATTCTTACTGGACATAGGTTATTGTTGTTTTTTGATAGACTTTAGAAACATTGAGCAAATCTTACTGGGTCTGTTGCTTCTTACTGTTTCTAATTTTCAAGATTTTTTGTGGGGAGGGAGGTATTTATCCAAGAGGAGACACTTTACATGATGATTTTAACAGAAATCATCTCTAAGATTATTTGAATATATGTATGAAGGAATATTGTTGGCTGGGAGGGGTAGCTCACACCTGTAATCCTAGCACTTTGGGAGGCCAAGATGGGAGGATTGCTTGACCCCAGGAGTTCCAGACCAGCCTAGGCAACACAGTGAGATCCTGTCTCTACAAAAAATAAAAAAAACTAGCTGGGTGTGGCAGCGCACTCCTATGGTCCTAGCTGCTTTAGAGGTTGAGGCAGAATTGCTTGAGCCCAGGAGTTCAAGGTTGCAGTGAGCTATATGATGGCACCATTGTACTCTAGCCCAAGTGATAGAGGAGAAAGAACCCTGTCTCAAAACAAAAAAAATTTTTGAAAAAAAAAAGGAAAAGAAATATTGTTGTCCCATCTAAAGGCTCACAGGAAATATTTTTCCCACAATGAAACCAATACTGTCATCATGATTCTGTCTTACTGTCACCTTCAGTGGTTCTTCAGTAGGAAGTGCTGTGCTCTGCTAATTGCACTCGTTGATTGTGAACTTGACTTCAGTTTGGCTGAAGTAGAAGATCAAAGGGTGAGGGTGAGAGGAAAAAAATAGAAACACTATCTGGGAATTGTTGCTATTCCATCTTGAACACTAACATAGAAAGAATTAGGCATTAAAAAATCACAGAAGGCTAGCTTCAGTATGATAATATTTTTCAAAAGTTCAAAAGCAAGTGAAACTAAATAATACATTGCTTGGAGGTGCAGACTATGTGGTTACAACTCTGACAGGCAAGGGAATGACCAGAAAGGAAAACCAAAAAGCAGGGACAATGGGATTGGGAACATTTTAGCTCTTAAGCCAGGTGGTATCATCATAGGTGGTTTTTATTTTCATACTTCATAAGGTAGATATACTTTACATAAATTCTCCTTTTAAAAAATATATCAAATACTTGAACAAAGAAAAAGTAAGGGCTTTGAATAAAATTGAGACTTTGAAGCCAGGTAGAGCTGAGTTCAAATCTCAACTCTGTTGGTTATTACCATGTGGCCTTGGCAAGTTACTTGTTTAACGTTTTGGATTTTCTTTACTTGAATTTAAAACAGAAATTGCAGGATTGTTTTAAGAATCACCAGTGGCTGGGCGCGGTGGCTCACGCCTGTAATCCTAGCACCCTGGGAGGCCGAGGTGGGCGGATTGCTCGAGGTCAGGAGTTCGAAACCAGCCTGAGCAAGAGCAAGACCCCATCTCTACTATAAATAGAAAGAAATTAATTGACCAACTAATATATATGTATATAAAAAAAAAATTAGCCGGGCACGGTGGCGCATGCCTGTAGTCCCAGCTACTCGGGAGGCTGAGGCAGAAGGATTACTTGAGTTTGAGGTTGCTGTGAGCTAGGATGATGCCACGGCACTCACTATAGCCTGGGCAACAAGTGAACTCTGTTTCAAAAAAAAAAAAAATCACCAGTAATATTTGAATCCCAAGCACAGTGTTCACAAAGTATAATTCAGGAATTTATTAGCTATTGATATTGTTAATACGAGGAACAGCGTAGTTTCAAATTCTTTTCCTGAACCTGCAGTTTATAATTGTAAATGTTTTAGGGAAATCAGCATTGGGGGCTTGGATAGGATATTTAGAATGGGAAGTAAATAAAGAAATTGATTTGTGTTCTTGTTTATAATTGAGGTGGGAGACCTACCTGATGCAGATATTAAACCTCCAGAAAATGTGCTGTTTGTTTGTAAATTGAATCCAGTGACCACAGATGAGGATCTGGAAATAATATTCTCAAGATTTGGGCCAATAAGAAGGTAATCACTAGAATTAGCAAAGCAGAAATTTGGAAAAACTAGATACTAGTTGATGGTTTTCTGATGATATTAATATATTTTTGATGAGTCTGCATTCTGGGTGAACTTTGTACTGGTGATTTTTATGGGTGAGTCTTTTGACAGTGTGGAAGAAAAGTATATATGTGTGTGTACACACACACGCATAAACCATTGAATGATTGTTCCACTCTCAGCACAAACATTTTTACTTTAAAACAGGAAATCAATGGAATAATTTAAGTCTGTCTGTATAATATTTTCAACAACTTTAATATTTAAAATACTTATTTAACTCCCAGGGAATATCAGGAATCTGTGTCAAAATTTAAATCTAAATTTTCCAAAATTTTTCTTTTGGTTAATTTTCCCTGCATTATTGTAAAATCTGTGAAGCTAGTATTTCTGTGAGAAAGGGGTCTATTTTGTAATTGATTAAAAAGTATTATGTTTAGGATTTCTTTTTATGTTTTTATTTATTTATTTATTTTGAGACAGAGTCTCGCTTTGTTGCCCAGGCTAGAGTGAGTGCCGTGGCATCAGCCTAGCTCACAGCAACCTCAAACTCCTGGGCTTGAGCGATCCTTCTGTCTCAGCCTCCCTAGTAGCTGGGACTACAGGCATGTGCCACCATGCCCGGCTAATTTTTTATATATATATCAGTTGGCCAATTAGTTTCTTTCTATTTATAGTAGAGAGGGGGTCTCGCTCTTGCTCAGGCTGGTTTTGAACTCCTGGCTTGAGCAATCCGCCCGCCTTGGCCTCCTAGAGAGCTAGGATTACAGGCGTGAGCCACCGCGCCCGGCCTCTTTTTATGTTTTTAAAATGAGACTTATACGTGGGGAAAGGGACAGACCAGGTGCTTTTCAACTCCAGCTTATTGGCCCTTCACTTGGTTGTTTTGATAGGTTAGTTTTGTGTAATAGCTATACTTATAGTGTTAAATTTGAGCTTGGCTTATATTAAAATTCAAAATCTAAAACATAAACTTACTTAAATATTTATATGTTATGAATTGTGCATACATTATTCTACAGTAACATTAAATATTTTATAATTCATCTATATTTGGCCTAGAAATGCATTATGATTTAAAAATTTTTAGCAGTTTACTTTTGCCAAAGGCTAATTAAACATTTCTATTCTTCAGTGCTTCAGGATTATAGGACTATAGGCCTACATAGGGCATTTAGAGTAGAATTTAGATAATTTAGTTGCTGGGCTGGTGAGCCGTTTTTAAAAAAGAATTGTTATTGAAAAAATTAGGAGAAATGCTCTGAATTTAACTTTATTGTGATAACTGGCTTGTTTTGTTCTTCAGTATTGAATAGTGAAAGTGAATGCTTGTTTTTTTAAGTCACTTTTAAAAACTTTTTTTCAGTTGTGAAGTTATCCGAGATTGGAAGACAGGAGAGTCCCTCTGTTATGCTTTTATTGAATTTGAAAAGGTGTGTCTTAATACATATATATTAAGTTTGGTATTTATTTTCTTTTTATATGACATTAAAATGTGAAAAATACAGAACGTTTTTCTGATTTCTAGGATTACCTCTTAGGCACCCAAGACAATTAACTTTATTATATTCAAATAGGGGATAAATTGAGCACCTGTTGATGTTACTGTATGTAGCTTTACTTTAGGTTCAGGTACAGTGTGCATGAATATATGTTTAGAACTTTCCAAGTCTTATATAAAGTCCTTCACAGACTCTTAATGATTTTTCAGTGTTACTTAAGTGGAGATATAATTAAGTAATAGAGAACTGTTAAGATCTCTAGGCATTATCCAAGCTCTGTTACTAGCCAGATACTGTATTAGGTTATTAAATATGAAATGTCTGATTTTCTTAAGTACTAAGATTGACAGGAAAAACTCTGACATTTCACTTTGATGCTTCTTGTTTTATTTTTATTGTGAAGATACATCCTCAATGTTTGAAACACATGCTTTTTACACTTGTCTCGCACGCAGAAAAAAAAGAAAACACGCTTTTTGGCTTATGATTATCTTTCAAATTTTTTTTTAAAGCTGCTATTTTTATGAAACCATGGATAAGTCAAAAATTTTGTTGTTTTCAATTATAAGTTCCATCATGGAACTAATGCAGCACAGCTCGAAATATGAACGATGTGTTTGGGAAGGATGTGGCTGATGAATACACAGCATGTCAGTGGATTGAGAAATTCTGTTCTGGAGATTTTAATCTTCAAAATGAGCCACATGTGACCTGAGACCAAGGTGGATAATGTGCTAAAGCTGTAGTGGAAGCGAATCCATCTCAACCTATGTGTGAATTAGCAGCACGTTTGATGTTACTATTACAACAACACTGGACCGTTTGAAACAAATCAGCAAGGTAAAGAAGCTGTATAGATGGGTTCTACGTGAATTAAAGGAGCATCAGAAGAGAAATCATCTTGAAGCTTGCCTTTCTTTGCAGTCACAACATAAAGGTGAGCTATTTCTACACCATATTGTTACACGTGATGAAAAATGGATTCTTTTTGATAATCACAAGTGTTTGGCACAATGGTTGGATAAAGATGATGTGCCAAAACAACAGTCCAAAACTGGATATTCATCAAAAAAAGTTAGTGGTGTCTGGTGGTCCAGTGCTGGTGTTATCCACTGTAGCTTCATGAAACCTGGTCAATTGATTACAACAGATGTCTACTGCAACCAACTGGATGAAATGATGAGGATGCTTGTGAATTAGCAGCCAAGATTGATCAATACAAACAGACCAATCAATCCTCTCACAAGACAATGCTTGACCACATGTAGCACAAACAACATTGCTCAAACTACAAAGGCTGGACTTGGAAACTTTCTGTCACCCGTGGTATTCACCAGACCTTGTGCCAACTGACTACCACTTCTTTCCAGGAAAAATATTCAATTGTCAACAAGCTGTGGAAAATGCCTTTTATAATTTAATCTCCACTGACTCTCCAGGCTGCTTTGCTGCTGGCGTAAATAAGCTACCGTTAAGATGGTAAAACTGTGTTGATAGTTTAAGCGCACAGTTTGATTAATTGTATTGCTTCTTTTTGAGATAAAAACTATACTTTCTATTCAAAATCGGACATTGCATATTTAATGACCTGATACATTTGACAGGTTATTTAACCCTTCTATCTTACATTCCTTAGAAATAAAACTTGGATATTGGATTAGATGGTCCCTTCTAGATCTGTAATATTGATGATAGCTCATGTTGTTCAAATATGTACTTTAAACCAGGCATTATGTTACCTTTCTTGCATTTAATCCTCACATTTTTATCCTGTGTAAGATCCTCCTTTTCCAAATAAGTAAAACGAGACACATAGTAATAATATGACTTGTTCAGAAATCACACGCTTAGTTAATATCATAGCTGGTATTTGAACTTAGGTATATCTCTGACTGCTCCTGTTGAGTTTAGCTGCTGTGCTATGCTATTTCTTTATGTAGCTTGGACTAATGCGCACTTATATAACATTATCAGTAACTTTATGTACATCCATTTTGATCAGACTGCCTTGAAATCTTCACTCTGACTCTTGCCAACTCTGTGACCTTTGACAACTTCTGTACCTCTCTAAACTTTTGTTTTTCTCATTGAGAAAATGGGATAATACTAGATAGTACCCATGAGGTTGTTATCAGAGTTAATTGAGGTTATAGATAAAGAGCATTTAAAGTATCTGGTGTGTAGTAAGTATTCAAATATTAATTTTAGTAACAACAAACCTTTTGTATTTTCAGTATCCTAGCTACGGAAATCTTTTCTGTAAAGATTTATGCTTGAGATTTTATAATTACTTTCAGGAAGAAGATTGTGAGAAAGCATTCTTCAAAATGGACAATGTACTTATAGATGACAGAAGAATACATGTGGATTTTAGCCAGTCTGTTGCAAAGGTTAAATGGAAAGGAAAAGGTATGTTGGTTTATCTTCCTTTGTTTCTGTTCTGCTTTGCATGCTTGTGTATATAGCCTTTGACTTGGTGTTGTTAATTAGGAGAAATCTTAATTAATGTAACTCCTGCCATTTGTGATTTTACAAAGCTGCTGTCTAGAGTCTGAAGTAGAGTGCATATATGTGTATTTTAAACTGATGAACAATATCTATATTTTCTATGTTTGAATGTATTATAAATTACTTGCAGTTATCCAGTGCAGACAGGATGTGTTTCCAAATTTGTTGTTATGACTTTATGGTAGTTTGATTCTTTTAGATGCAAAACTTAAAAAAGGTTTTTTTAGGTTTATTTTAGCTGTCATATGATGCAAAATTGAAAAGGTCCATATCAGTATATAAAATGCCAATTTATTCATTTCAGTGGCTGCTCAATATTCTATTGAATGTATATGTCATAATTTATTAAACTAGTCCTATTATAATGGACATTCAGGTGTTTCTGATTTTTACTCTTCTATGTACTATCTGTGTATATATGGCATTTGACACATATATGTCAAACAAATTCCTGGTAGCATACCAAACTTAAAGTATGCCGAAATAATAAGGATTTTTGATGCAATGTTTTTTGTTGTTTTTTTTTTTTTTTTTTTTAAACAGAGTCTCACTTTGTTGCCTGGGCTAGAGTGCCGTGGCATCAGCCTAGCTCACAGCAACTTCAAACTCCTGGGCTCAAGCAATCCTACTGCCTTAGCCTCCCAAGTAGCTGGGACTGACTATAGGCATGTGCCACCATGCCCAGCTAATTTTTTCTATATATTTTTAGTTGCTCAGCTAATTTCTTTCTATTTTTAGTAGAGACGGGGGTCTTGCTCTTGTTCAGGCTGGTCTCGAACTCCTGACCTTGAGCAATCCGCCCGCCTCGGCCTCCCAAGAGCTAGGATTACAGGCGTGAGCCACAGCGCCCGGCCTCTAATTTTCTTAAAGAGCTTTTCTTTTGCATTTACAACTTGGCTAACTGGGGCAAGAGTCCTTAGCTTTCAGCCTATCTTGGCTTCCAACATGCCTTCTTCACTAATCTTAATCATATCTAAATCTGGATTTAAAGTGAGAGGTGTGCCTTTCTTCCTTTTACTTGAACACTTAGAGTCCATTACAGGGTTATTAATTGACCTAATTTCAATATTGTGTGTCTCAGGGAATAGTGAAGTCTGAGGAGCAGGATAGAGATGGGGGAATGACTGATTGGTGGAGCAGTCAGAACACCCATGACATTTATGGATTGAATTTGCCACCTTTATGGGCATAGTTTATGGCACCCCCAAAACAGTTATAATAGTAACATCAAATGTCACTGATCACAGACTACCATAACAGATGTGATTGTAATGAAAAGGTTTGAAATATTGCCAGAATTACCAAACTGTGACACAGAGACATGAGGTGAGCACATGCTATTGGAAAATGTGCCAATAGACTTGCTTGATACGTGATTGCCACAAACTTTCAATTGTAAAAACACACTACCTGCAAAGCACAATAAAGCAAAATGTACTTTTTACTTAGTTCTAGTAACAAGTGTGTAAGAATCGGTGCAGTAAATGTAGTCTTCCTTTTGTAAGTATTTTTTTGCCAGTCTATAACTAATTTCAGTTTGAGTTATATATATATTTATATTATGTGTCTTTCTATATAGTTTCTTATTACTACAGGAGAAAATCTAGATTACCTTGATGGTGTTCATACAGTGTTTGGTGAGGTGACAGAAGGCATGGACATAATTAAGAAAATTAATGAGACTTTCGTTGACAAGGACTTTGTACCATATCAGGATATCAGGTGTGGTTACAAATTACTATCTGAATGTACTAGAATGTTTTTTGTTTTTTTTTTTTTTTTTGTAGTCTGAGTCCCAGCTACTTGGGAGGCTAAGGCAGTAGGATTGCTTGAGCCAGGAGTTTGAAGTTGCTGTGAGCTAGGCTGATGCCACGGCACTCTAGCCCAGGCAACAAAGTGAGACTCTGTTTAAAAAAAAAACAACAAAAAAAAACACAACAAAAACACTGCATCAAAATCCTTATTATTTCGGCATACTTTAAGTTGGTATGCTACCAGGAATTTGTTTGACATATATGTGTCAAATGCATATATACACAGATAGTACATAGAAGAGTAAAAATCAGAAACACCTGAATGTCCATATAATAGGACTAGTTTAATAAATTGTGACATATACATTCAATAGAATATTGAGCAGCCACTGAAATGAATAAATTGGCATTTTATACACTGTTATGGACCTTTTCAATTTTGCATGTAGTCAGTCCCAGCTACTTGGGAGGCTAAGGCAGTAGGATTGCTTGAGCCAGGAGTTTGAAGTTGCTGTGAGCTAGGCTGATGCCACGGCACTCTAGCCCAGGCAACAAAGTGAGACTCTGTTTAAAAAAAAAACAACAAAAAAAAACACAACAAAAACACTGCATCAAAATCCTTATTATTTCGGCATACTTTAAGTTGGTATGCTACCAGGAATTTGTTTGACATATATGTGTCAAATGCATATATACACAGATAGTACATAGAAGAGTAAAAATCAGAAACACCTGAATGTCCATATAATAGGACTAGTTTAATAAATTGTGACATATACATTCAATAGAATATTGAGCAGCCACTGAAATGAATAAATTTGGCATTTTATACACTGTTATGGACCTTTTCAATTTTGCAT